TTCCATGTCAGCATTAAAGGCCTCCGGATCGTTCAACTTGTCTCCCGAACCTTGTACAAAGCCAAACCGAAAGGCCTTAGTCTTGGACAAGCGCACCAAGATGCAATCTTTGCATTCATAGCTGCATACGAGACCTTCTTTTAAGAATTGCCAAGATCTTTCTCCAACTTCTTGATGGAGAGAAGACAAAAAGGAAGGGAGAATGACAAACCTCAATGGCTCGAACAGGGGCAGATGGAGGCAGTTATTCCAACTCCATATTACATTCCCCGAGCAACTGCTAGTGCTACAGAGGGGTCGGTAATCATAGAATCACCAGAGTGAAGAACTGATTTATCAACTCTAGATATAAATGGCTTCCAAGGTGCTCTAGTCTCTGCCATGACAAATGCTCTAACCTAGTGATATGACAAAGTGAAGAACGTAAGGAATGAAATGAACGCAGTAAGAGCGGAAGTAACTCTTATGAAAACCCTTTGGTCAGAATATCAGTAATCACGCCTCAAATCCACTTTTTACGAAATTGGTAATCGTACAGCTTCAATTCCCTTCTTATTAGGAGTAGTACTCCAATTAAAAAAGGAATTGGGGGCTAAGTGTGGAGGGAAAAAATCCCCTCAAATGAGAATAATCCACGTCATCATAGATATAAACATATCCTTGATAAGTTTATAAAGCCCACCTCGCTCAAACCCAAATTGAGTTTGATACTAGTCCAAGATCATTGTTCACAAGCCCAATACTATTGTTATATGACCTTCAGCCTTGTTGAAGCCCGAATTAAGAGATTATCAGCCCAACATGTTAATATTTAACATCCGGTCCGTTACTCAAGCCCAGCCGGATCAAAGTATGTTCAGCCCAGTTACTCAAGAATGCACAAGTCCTACCAGTTGAAGGATTTACCGTAGAAGGAAAATTCTGAGATAGGAAGTTCTGTACAATGCAAGTTCTATGTATGGAAAATTAGACAATGGAAAGAACTCTATTAGTAAAGAATGTTTATATAGAAAGAATTGGAGGACAAGCAACGCGAGTCCTACCATAATTTTACAATCTTTTGTATATAAATAGAGGCTTAGACCTCCAATAAAGGGATCAAGCAATTTACGCTTCTCTATACACTGTTCTTATTTATTTTTATTGTTTTTTGAGTGAGTTGTTTTATTTTTCTCAATCATTATTGGTTGAGCGAAATTTTGCACCTACACGTACCAATATAAAATGTTCTTTCTTGAAAGTTTAACTTAGAATTAAGTTTTAGTATTTTTTTATTGTATTATTAGTGAATGAATTATTTAATTTATCTATGTATAAAATGAGAAAAACACATTTAATATTTACATTTTGAGCAAATAGCACCCTTATATTTGATTGTGTACATAAGGTTTGAAAAAATGAACAAATAATGAATTATGAAGTGTATAGAAGTCCTTTAAGTTTCGAAAATGAGCAAAGAATGACTTGAAATCATTGTTAAACTATTAAATTTTAAAAATACTATTATATCTTTCGATAATGCCCTTATAAGGACAAAGTGAGAAAACCCCCCTAATGTTTACACATATAGTTTATTTTAAGTATATAAGTCTGTTAAGTTTGAAAAAATGTGACAAATAAGGACTTGAGGTCAATGTTTCGTTAAAAAGATAGTTATATGCATTGCACATGATATTTTTAAGATATAAAATTTCAAAAATACAATTTTCTCTTCCGATAATGCACTTATATATATATATATATATATATATATATATATATATATGCACTTGTCACATTTAATTAGTTTTTTTTTTTTTACCTATTTTTTATTCAGTTATAGATGGATATTTTAGTTTTTTCAGCATTAAGGTCTTTGTTTGCATCAAAATTGAATGTTAAGAAGTTTTAAGAACGTATAGGGAGATATATATTCTATTTTTAGCATACTATAAGGTATTTTTTTGCCTGCAACCGTATATTATATATAAAAAAGAGGGACAATTAATCATTTCATATTTAATTAGTTTTTCACCTATTTTTTATTCCATCATCAAGAGACCTTTAGTCTTTTTGGCATTCAAGTCCTTATTTGCTTCAAAATTAAATGTGAGGGACTTTTTAAAACATACAATAGTTGTACATTCTATATATATATAGTGAGTTTATAATGATTATTTTTTATAAATTGGGATTTTAATATTTAGATAAGGGCAAAAGATTTGTAGTTGTGACAAATTTTCAATTGAGATAGGGATTTAAAATTCAGAATCTGTTGGGGAAGACAACATGGGATGATTCCAAAAATTGATTTGAGTCGGTTGCATCTTTGAGGTGGTCAACTTTCTGTCTTCTTCTATTATTTTATTAAATTTATTTTATTTTAAAATTTGATAGAATGGGGACAATGACTGAATAAAAACAGCAAAGTAAAAGATTAGGGGGCAAGACAAGCAGCTGAGTGCGGAGACAAGTCTTGTGACCCTTCCAAGCGCCAAGCAACGAAGACATGCATCCCAAGGGTCGTCGGGCCACCGGGAAATTAAGGTCCCTTCAAAGGCTGCAGCGGCCAAATGATAATGGACAGTGGCCAAGTGGGAATTGTTGGTCCCAATCCTTAAATTCACAAACGGATAATTTTGAAAACAATCAAAGATTAAAAATATATTTTTATTTTGAACTCGTGACTTCAAAGTGATAGAATAATTTTATAATTGTTCAAGTACCATCCATCATTCTCTCTTTTTATATATCAAACTATTCTTATCTTCCGACTCTTTTGCTTTCTTTTATAATGCTTCCTTTTTTTTCTTCCACAGACTAATCAAAGACCTGTATATTAATGCATTAACACCAAAACTAATTAAAAAAATCTCCGGATTGCTAATTGTTTTTTATGAACCTTTTCACCAGTCACAATGAAATTATTAACTTTGATCTAGACGAGTGCCTGTAAAAATATTAGAATTAAGTTTTCAATCAGAATAACAAGAGTCGGGCTGAGTTGTGGAAAGTAAGAGTGGATATTTCTATTACAATTTGCAACAATGCTTATTTGCTAATTGAACTCATTAACAAAAGCATAATTGATTTTTTAATAAAAAAATAGAATTAACAACAAAACTAAAAAAAAATATTTGGATTGCTGAACTTTAAGTGGTGAACTTTCCATTCACCACTTAAAGTGAAATCGAGAGCTTAGTTTTCTATTACTATTGAAACATATTATGAACGCTATAAGTAAACGTTGAAGTTTCAAGTTTTTCAAAATTATTAAGTTTGACTTCTAATTGATCTCTTCCTCCCGGTATAAGAAATTGTACATATGTTCATATGATATTACATAAAATATATTCACTTACCGATACTTTTTAGATATTTGGTTTGAAACTCCAAAGTTTCCTAGAATTATTTGTGTTTGATTTCTAATTAAACTATTCCGTCCAATATTTGAGACGATATATATGTTCATATAATGTATCACAATTATATATATGTGTGTGTGGAATCTAGAGAGAATGGAGGAAAAAGAAGATGTATTTGGATAGTTCTGGTTACTTTTGTTATTTTATTTATGAATATATAAAAGTGAAGCTCCTGAGTATTATTTTGGAGGGCCAATAACAACTCCCTAATAATAAACAAGAATTGAATTAATTAGATAATTTTACTCATTTTAGGTCGTTATCAACCAATTGAATTTTTATCCAAAATAAATGTTCAGAATGGCTATCAAATGTGCTATCAGAGTTAAATTCATTTTACAAATTATTTTTAGCTGTCCCACATTTGTAGGATATAATGTTTAAAATATAGTTAATTAAATTTGTTGAAAGGCAAACAAAGTGAATGTCCCTCTCCATTTCTATCCCCGCTCCATATAGTTGATCAACAACAATGTATGATTAATTTACATTAAAAAACAATAATATATGATTAAATTTCTTTTTGTACTGACTGATTAAATTTCTTTTTAACCGATTGATTTATGCATAGAATATCAAATAATTAATTATTTCTCTTTCAGCTTCGTATGTTGATGATGTAATTTAAGACGAGGAAAATACATCACAAAGAAAAAGCTAAATCAACTGTATAAAGTACGGAAAGCAAAAGATAATCAATAAGAAATGATATGATGATATAATGTCAAATCCACCTTTAGTCAAAGAGACAAACTTAGCCTATTAATCTCAGACTTTATGAAAAAGATTCGACTTGAAGCGTAGGTCTCGAGTTTGATAATTTTAAGGTGAGAATAATTTCTTGGAGTGATTGCAGAGGTAGTTTAAATTTTACTAGATTTCTGTGAAAAAATTGATTTACACGGATTCGTAAATTAGATGAGGTAAAACTCCGAACACCTGTTATAAAAATTATAAAAAAAAAACACTTAGCCAATCGAACAAAATACGAAAAAACCTCAAATCTATATGAATGTGTCTACCAGTTAATTTTCTTTTGGTTTGTGTAAACTAGTAGAGTTATTTATTTATTTATTTTTGATTTGAATAATATTACTCTAAAATAAAGTATACTTCACGTTATTTCAGAGGGCTTTTTTTTTTTCTTTCTTTTCTATAATAGAGTAACGATATTTTGAATTAAAGAATATAATCCCTTTAACTAAATTATCTTTTTATATTTTATATATATATATATATATATATATATATATATATTATACCCTCTTCGATGGTAAAGAAGGTAATGAATGAACCGCCTTGTCAATGCATCTTTGAAAAAAAAAAAATAGAGTTACTGTTGCTGGAGTATAACACTCTAAAAAATAATAATTTATAAACTCAAACCCTAGCTAACCTAGCTGCTACAATACTCAAGCCCTACTAGAGTGTAGACCCGCAATGCTATAAATTCAAAATAAACTAAAATCCTAAATATTTGGATTAGTACATCAATAAAAACTAGTAGAATTTTATGTGGTCGATAAGTTTAAAATAAATTCAAATCCTATATATTTATAAAAACTTTTTTGCAGCGAAAATGATCAAAAACTAAAGTGGAAGAAAATAAAAATAATAATAATAATAAAAAATAAAAATTTTATACAACATATACATCTATAGCATAAGAGAAACTCTGTAGTAATATTATTCAAAACACTAACAACGAATTCTTCACATCATATCCCAATTGTTCCAAATTCGGTTTTACAGCAAACTGAATCATTTGCGGCGGTCCACAAGCCAAAGCCAGAGTATCCTCCGAAGCTCCGGGGACATGTTCTCTTAAAACACTCTCACTGATCCTCCCAACACCGTAACCCCATCCTTCCCGTATAGTCTTTCCGACCACATACCACACCTTCAATTTCTCACTGTGTTTTTGTGCCCATCCATCAAGCTCATCTCTGAGCAAGATATCGTCTTCGGTTCGATTAGCATACACCAAAAACATCTGCGTATGATCATCAGGGTCGTTCAAAACGGCCTGAATGACCTGATAAATGGGCGTTATTCCGGTCCCTCCGGCCACCATTGTCAACCTTTTAGCGAACTTGTGTTTGCCATGCACGGTGAAGTTGCCTCTGCCGGTGTAGTCGATGTGGCCTAGCGGACCCTTCACGTCGAGCACGGACCCGAGTGGTAGCGAGTCCAAGAACTGTGACATTAGTCCACCATTTGGGAAGTCAGAGTTCACACCACTATAGTATATCTTCACCACCAGATCAAAGTAGCCCATCTCATCAATTGTGCTGGTTGGTGTGTAAGCTCGCAAGCAGAGCTTGTCATTGATTTGAGCACACAAAAATATATGTTTCCCCACTGGCAACCCTAGTGTCTGTTCTTCGGAGGGCAATCCGAATCTAAACAATCGGACGTCGTGAGATATCGACCTCTTCAAAATGAGCTTGCATGGAATTTTTTCACGTGGCACCAGTGCTATGCTTCGCGCGGGAGCCACTTCTTTGATGGGAGCGAGGTGGGGAGTAGTACTGGTCACGCTGGAGGCGCTGTGGACGGAGTTATTGGGCGAGGAGTTGGTTGAGTCGGAGGTTATCAACTCGCCAATCCGGAACTCCTCGAGGAGCTTCTTGGCTTTGACGGAGTGAATGGCGTCGAACTCTTCCGTGCAATCAGTACCGGCATTGATGAGGATGCTGTCCGCGCCTCCCGGGTGGTCTTTGAGGAAGCCAGTGCAGTCGTAGATGTGGCCGTGGACGATGATCCATGCCGAATCAGCTGAGTTGTGTTTCTTGACGTCGGACATTGAGTATTTCTTTGTAGAAGTGATCATGAAAGGTGTGGAGACACTCTTCTTTAACGTTTGGTTCATTTCTGATGATATCTTGAGTTGTCCCTCCCGAGCCATCCACCCGCCGGACTCGTTTCCGGGCTGGGTCGGGTGCTCGAACACGATTCCGATCTCGCCCTTGTGTCGTCTGCACACGTTTATCTTCACTCTGAACCAGCAATTGTTCATCATACCCTGCGCGTTCAATCAGAAACTTTAATCAATGGACACAATGTCACAAAAGTGCCAATCACTCGTAATAAACTAGTGTTTTATAGCCTTGTACATTTTAAAAGTGACCAATTTGATATGTGAAAACTGTAAGAATTTAGTCAACCATACATGATGAGTCGAGGTGGCTAGTCAAATGGACTAGCCAGAGTGTTTTGGGCTAGCCCTTTTGGTTGAATTCATTATCGTCACGCCAAATTAGCAAGTCAATGATTGTTCTTAAAAACAGAATAATAATAAATCAACTGATCGGGCAAGTAACCAATACGAAGGGGGAAGACACGTGAAGTCACGTGAATTCCACGTGATTAGACAATTTTGTCAAAAAAATTTGCTACCTACAAATTAGACAAATGGGAAGGTGGGAATATAGTGAACAAGCAGCGGAGCAATTAGTAGTAGTAAGAGGTGGTAGGGATGGCAATAGGGACAATTTTGATCCAAAACCACCTAAACGGGTGTTTTTTCACTCTATTCCTCGGTTAAATTTTTTCATCTTCCGCGTATCAGTCTAGTCCCATTTATTTTTAGAATCTCTCCTTAATTTTAAATTGTTTTGACAGTAGCTAGGGTTGAGGTATTTAGACATGAAGGTATATATAAGTGTTTTTAGTTCGCAGGGCTCTTTAGAAGTCTAGAACTGTTAACGAAGTGAGTGAATGTGACTTAGAATTTTTAATATTAACTATATATATTAATAAAAATAATTTAATAATTTACACATGCACCTAAACGGGACGGGTTGACCTCCCCCTCCCGCACTCGCACGGGTTTTTACTTCTAAATCTCATTTCTATCTAAATAATTTAAACAGTCCTTCAAAATCGATATAAATGGGACAGGACAAGTACCCGCCCCTGGAAACAAATTGACATTCTCGAATACACGAGAAATTATTATATGATCGAATTATAAAAAGGATAATTACATGAACAAACAAACAAGTAATTAGCGGTGAGAGTAAGAACATGAGAAATTATTATGTGATCTTGGTGACGGGAATGGAGAAATTATTAAATTATTCTGAATCATTTGACACTTACTTAAACTAATTTAATGAAACTAATGTTGAAATTTTTTTTGTAATATACTAATATATTTTTGTGAGGTCATTCTTCAATCCAAAAGTTTCGATAGAACCAGTTCATAGTTATTGGCAAGTACAACGTACCATGAGATTCCAAATTAGGGTCTCGGGTTGTGTGTTGAGGGACTCGTCCCAGGCTCGGACAGCAATCTCTTTGGCACCGATGAGGTCCAGCACCTCAACCTCTACAGACCAGAAGCACCAGCACCAGTACTTGCCATATCTGTTGGGTGTCTCTGGGTGGTCCACCGTGCACACGTGCCATGTGTTCCCACCATCCATTGTCACCTCCGCACGTGTCACTTTCTTTCCACCACCTAGTTCATCACAATCACAAACACAAAAATAAAATATCTCACTTTCAATTTTCAAACAAAGACAAAGGAAATTGCGTCACGTTAATGGGAGGAAAATGAAATATAAAATAATTTGCTCGTCTCAGGTACTAAAATGGAATCAAACTCTCAATCGTGCTGGTTCAAATTTGAGAATAATTCACTTTAATTACTTTTGTTATACAAATTACAAAGTGATTGTTTTTAATGCTCCAATCCAACTCCAAAATACTTGTCGGAAAGAGGAAAAAAAAAAAAAAAAAAAAAAAAAAATTCAATTCCAAAATCAATTTTCAATTTTTGAATAAAAAAATGAAAAAAGAAATCTAATAATAAAAAATAAAAAAAAAAAGTGTAACACGAGCTCTCTACTAAGAGAGTCTCCTCATCAGGTGACAAGCACAGCACAACACAAGCTCACTAAGAGTGCCCACGTCATAGCTATATTCTAGCTAAAAAAAAAAAAAAATTTATAGCACTATTCAAGATAGTAGTAACTCTTTCACCAATTAAAAAATTTCAAATCATGAAGACAAATAAATTTTTTTTTTCTTTTTCTCACTTATTTATCAGATACGTGAAACTACAATAAGATATACACTTTTTATTTTTTTGAAAGGTTACAATAAGATAACTTGTGAACCCATCCAACCAATATCTAGATTCATGATGAGACATGTAACGTAAAAGTAAGAAGCATGAATCATGGTTGGCAAGGAAGGAAAAAAAATCAAAATTATGGTTAGACCCCATACGTGAAGTATTTGTCGTTTCATGACATTTTTTAGGAGTCCGATACCAAAATGAGATAATATTTTTAACTTTGGCAACTGACCTGAATAAGCGTAGCCCCTCAAAGTGTACGGCATCTGAGTTGTCCATGAATTGATCGGCAATATCTCTTCGTGAGAAGGTGTTGTAATCACAGAGTTAATATTAAGCTCATTGATTATGTACTCTGGCTTATACCACCAACCTATGTTAAAAATAAAAAAATAAAAACCATTTCTCCCATATTATCAATAATAAAACACGTTTTCAATTATCAATAATATATACATATAAGGACAATGCTTAACTACTCACTCCTTATGTGTTCCAATAAAAAAATAACATATCAACTTTAATAACAAAATAAAAAAAAAGTATAAAAAAAAAAAAAAAAGTCGGATCGACCCGTTTTAATTGAGTAACCACCATTTTTCTTTTGTCTCTTTTTTTCATGGATTCCAAAAATCACGCCATCCTTATAGAGTACTGCAAAATGTTAATTCCTCCATCCCTGTCAATTCAGTAGAAGCAAAACACACATTGCAGCCTTTTTTTTTTTCTTTTTTTTTTTTGATGTCTTCGTGAGCAAAGAAGTATAAGAAAGCACATAATTAATGCCTTTGGCTTCCAATACTTAAACTGACATGGGAATTAAAAGTCCTCATGCTAGGACGCCAATGAGTCAAACATGTTCATAGCATTAATGTTTGCCAGCAATACCCAATTTGATCCGACTCAAATTCCGATTATACCATGAACTTCAATCACCTAGATTATCGATAGTCAATATACTTGGCCAACACCCAAATTGATCGAATCAAACTTAAGTTATAGATTGATTAAATTTATACAAAATAATAATAATGATAATAATAAAAAAAGATATGAGTTATCATTACTAATTTATATGATGAACCCAAAACAGATCACAAAAGGAAAGAAAATTCACAAAAGAATAATAAAAGATTGAAATTAAAAACAAACATCTCAAAAAATAATGTAGATGGGAGGGGCAAATTTAATTCACAGAGGGGGGGATAATGTAGATGGGAGGGGCAAATTTAATTCACAGGGGGTGTTAAGAATTAAAGAAAAAGAGATAGAAAAGAGAAAGGGTGATTACTTAATTAAAACGGATCGATTCGAATTTTTTTTTTTTTTTAATAATTTTATTAATTTTTTAATTAAAATTAATATATTATTTTTTTTATTAGGACACACAAAGAGTGAGCAGAGTGAAGCTGCTGAGTAGTGTGTAATAATAACGTACCTTCAGCATTAGCTAACTCGTCATCTACATGGGATGGAAGGACTCTATTGTCTCTAAAATGATAGTAACTGTCAGATTCTTGGGTTGTTACAATGATACGCTTGAGCCACTTCACCATCCGACCGCCAATGAATCCCGGTATGATCATTCTGATCGGGAAACCGTGATCCGGTGATAGAAGCTCTCCGTTCTGCATGTAAGCTAATATAATGTCTCGCGACGGATCCATCGCCACCTCCTTTTTAAGGCTGGTGCCGTACTTAGATCCTCCACCGCCCGGGAGATCTTCGGCGCCTTCGAAACAGACGTTCAGGGCACCATTCCGGCGGCTATAAATTCCGCACTTCTTGAGAATGTACCGTAGCGGTACACCGCGCCAAACCGATGTGGACACCGCGGCAGCACCCCAATTGAAGCCTATGCTCTGCTTCACCATGTTCTGCTCCTTGCGGCGGTTTCCGGCGCAAACGAGTGTGACCGGGAACTCCCGGGTTGGAAACTCGTTCACGAGTTGGTCCATGGTGAACCGGGCGGGTCGCTTGACCAGCCCGGTCACCTCCACGGTCCAGTCCTCCCAGGTGCCCTTCGGAACGTAACCGTGGTTCCGGACATAGTGGAGCGGGACCGGGGTGATGAACCCGTGGTGCATGAGCCGGGCCAACGGTGGCTCCGAGTTGAACGGGTGCTTCCCGGTGAGACGGATCATGGACGGGTTCCGGTCTATCCAGTTATCCGCCGTTCCCTCGTCTCTCGGGTCCAAAACAGACGGCTCCAATTCACTGTTACCTTTTCTGATGGTGTTGCTATAATCATTTCCGCTCTCATCTTCGCTGGAAGAGTCATCGAACACAACTTGTTTTCTAGGGCGGGTCAGTTCCGCAGTTGGAGGGAAGTTGCAGCCCCGACCCGGAGAATCAGATCGGTGGTTCGAACCGGCTTTGTAGGCGCGGGCGACGCCGGTTATACCAGGTTCGAGCCTGTCGAACTGCCGGTTCTGGACATACGCAGCCATTATAGAATATGGACTAGTGGTTTGTGGATGGGAGTGAGTGAATGAAAGAAGGGAGAGAGGACCTTTCTTTCCTGTTTCTCTCTCTAGGATTTGTTTCTTTTTCTTTTTTTTTCGATAATTAGGATTTGTTTCTCTTTCTATACTTTTGATTGAAAATGATTAGGAACTCTGTTGGGGACTTATATAGAGGTGGGTGGGCTAGAAAGATTCGTAGAGAGAGAAAGTGAATGTTGTACTTGATTTAGTGGAGAGAATAGATCAGGGGAGCAGCTTATGGTTTCGGGCCAGCATGGAGGAGAGCCGTGGCTTTGGTCGCGAGCTTCTGGTATTGGGCTGCAGACACAAAAAGATACAGTATGTAAATTTCAACCACTTAAGTATACAAAAATGATACGGTAGATAAATTTCAACAATTTATAACACAAAAATGAATTATGGTTGTGTCAAGGAATATACTCACCGATAAGGATCATTAAAAATATGAAATGTGTCAAAAAAATATTTAAAATAATTAATAAAAATTGTTTGAATATTTTTTTTCCTTCATTCGTTTGATATTTTCTATTTCAAACCCTTCATATTGCAATTAATTACATAAATAGCTAAACAATTAGCTCTAATCCTAGAAAGGGGAGCGACTCTCGGACTAATTACTGAGATCCATTTTCATTAATTATTGAGATCCCTTTTCATTTAGGAGGTCCTTTATATATACTCGCACAACATCTCTTATAGATCATAGACCTGCGCCCTCTTTTATCAGAAGATGTCTCCATATCTACCAAGTTCTTCTCTCTATATCCGTCTTCAAACCCTTGCCAGAGTAGTTCATCAATCAACCAATAGAATAGCTGGTTTGCTGCTATAGTGGTAAATTAATCATAATTGTAAGACTCAAATTATCAATGGAGTTTAAGGAAATCAATTTGGCTTCAAATTGCAACAAATGGTGATAAATCTTAAAATTTTGGATACCTCTAGATTTATAAGTATTTATTAACTGGCGGCTTGAATCATCTTTAAAGATTAGATGTAAAAGATTATGGTTTGGGAATGGAAGAGGTGGCAGGCAGTGGAGGTCGGTTGACAGAAGAAATGATTAATGTTAGGGTTTTAAAATTGAGGAGATGGAGGGCATCAATGGGGATTTGGTGGGAAGAGAGAATGAGTAGTGAGTTAAAGAAAGGGGGAGCTCAAAGTCTCACACAAGCGTGAGAGAAAATCATCTTCTTTTTTGGATGACTCGTGAAAAGATTCTAATGATTCAGGTTAAAAAAAAAAAAAAAAAAATCTGGCACATGTCGTGCTGTTATTGATCCATACTAACATCAGATGGGAGCCTTGTTTATGTGACCTAAGGCAAATTTTTTCCCACAAAAATTATAATATAGTTTATGTATGCGGTAAAATAACAATTAGGATTAATTACACTCACACTATATGAGACTTGTCTGCGAGACGAAAATTAGCCTTTTTTTTAACAATCATACCCCTATCAGAAATTTAATCTTAAAAGATGAGATTACCCTTTAAGTATTTAATCTGTTTAATAATAGGATATACTACCTCCGTCCCAAAAAAAGTGTCGCTTTTAAAGAATTGTAACAGTTCAATTTGTGAGAGTCACGGTTCTCCAAAAGTGACACTTTTTATGGGACGGAGGGAGTAATACATTTTAAAAGACCAAAACACCCTTGAGAGACCAAACTTTCTCTTCTCTAACCCTCCCTTGTTCTATTGAGAGACCCGTTTTTCTCTCTCCCCTCTTTCTATTTCTTCCGGCCACCACCTCCACCCTCTACCACTATCCTATCCAGCAATCCACCACCACCATCGCAACATCAAAATGCACAAAATCAATACATGGCGGACCCAAAAAAAAAAGAAAAAAATTTATTTACATAATAAATTTTAGCCCAATCCAAAAAAAAATTTATTACTAGTATTAGTCTACCCAAAAAAATTATTCTTAGTATTAACTCACCCTATTAACAATTTTTAAATCCACCCTCGACACATATTATACACAAATCCTTTCCCCTTCCTCCCCAAACCCTAATTTATACACAATATCAATACACGCAATCACATCTGTATATCTACATCTGAGTGTATTTGCAAGAATATCTATTTATTTTTTAAAAAATGGATAGCTACATTATTACATTTTATTAAATTATGATGATGTAGTTATTTAATTTTTTTCACCAACCATATTCCACGGTGTGCAAACTACTATTTGCCTATCTACAATTTTACATTATTATTTTATTATTTTTAAAATTTATTAAGAAGGAAAGAGAGACACTAAGGGATCCACCAAAATTAAATGCTAACATATTTTTAGCATTCTCATCTTCATTAGCTATATGTAGAGATTGTGATACAAAATGACATGTGGAATCTTCTAACATGGCATTCTACTCCATATGCACACCAGTTGTATTGCTCTCAACTTCACATTATATTGGCTATTAAAACTTGCACTACGGATACCCTAAAGTTGAATAACAACTTGTATCCGAGTGTCATTATCTTTCATTTATTTATTTAGGGTAAAATGTAAAAAAAAAAAAAAATACTGTCATATAAAAAATTGTGTAAAAAGACACCCTGCAATTTAGTACCTATATATAAATTGCTGGCATTTGAAAATATGTGCAAATTGCCCCTTAATATATACTTACAGTCACTTGTGACCAAATTTTTTTATAAAAATCTTTAAATACCCTTAATAATCCCTCTCTCTCTCTCTTATATCTCACAGTGATTTTTTTTAAAATTTTTTTAAGGCATTTTAGGTATTTCAATATTCAAATTGAGAAAATATCCTTATTTGCTCAATTTGAAAAATTTACATTTTTTTTTTTACACGAGAGATTATTTATACATTCTCTATACTGTAGAAGGGTATTTTGCACTTTATCCCTTTATTTTAAGCATTTTTGAAAGATATTTTTAGTATTTGTTATATATTTTTAGTATTAGTTCTCTATAAAACGTTCTACAAAATTTTGAAGAAATGAAAGTGAATTTACAAAAACCTAAACATTTTACTTTGTTACGAAAGAAAAGCATAATAATTAAGTTTAAATATGAGAATTATATACGCTTCCATTATTTCTATATTATATTTTTTAAGAATTGATAAACTGTTTTTCAAAGTTTCAAACGGATGTAGAAAAATAATATTTTTTGTGTAAAAGATTTATATGAAGAAAAAAAAATTCAGATGTAAAACTTACACACATATATACTAATTTCATATTTGGATGCATATATATATATATATATATATATATACACACACACACACACTAAAAAACGTTTTCTCTGCTTTGTTTTTTCTTGACACAAAGCATATATGAGAATTTAATTTAGCTCGATTTATTTCATAACTAACCATTTTAGATGATTCTAATACATAGCATCCAGTCGCATCAATAATATTTTATTATTAGAAAATGTAATATTTGTTTGATTTGTACTGTATGTCTTATTCTTATTCATTTTATTAGGTAAGTATCGGCAGTATCAAAGATTTGTTCAAATTATACTCGAGGTATTCAAAATTTCAAAGAACAAATGCATGTGCAAGTGAGACCGGTCAAGTGCAAAAAATACTTCTAAAATATATTTACAGTGTATATCACTCACATTTTTCACGTGTAAAAAATATCTCTAAAATTTTAATTTGATACAAATAGATTCTTATAACAAATTTAAATCCTAAATTGATTAAATTATCATTACTTAACCATTTTATAAAATATATAAAAATAAATAATTTTGTAAAATGACTGAAAAAGACATTATTAGAGTATACCCTTCTTGTGCAAAAAATATCCTTAAAGTTTTAATCTAATGCAAATAGGTTTCTCTGACAAATTTAAACCCTAAGTTGACTAAATTACCTTATTGAACTATTTTATAAAATATATAAAAATAATTAATTTTATAAAATAATACTATTGGAGTACGCCGATAATGGACAAGTAAAGATAAAAATATAAAATAAAAATAAAAGTATAAAAGAAAAGTAAAAATAAAAATAGAAAAAAAAAAAACAAAAATAAAGTGCAAACTAAAGAAAACAAAAAATTTTCAAACTCCAAAGACCAGTGCACACTGATATTGATTTTTTTTTTTTTTTTGTTTAACAGTGTTGGTACGAAAAAAATTTAAAAATTTAGTAGAAAAGAGTAACTAGAATCTCAAAATATTCAAATCTTTGTTCTAAAAATTCTCAAAGTTAAAAAAAAAAATAAATAAATAAAAAAAAAAAAGGAGGAAGAAGAAGAAGAAGAAGAAGTAGTAGTTTAGAGATATCTATAGAGAAAAAAGTTTCAATATATATATATATATAGTAATGTGCACATCACATCCCTAAAGTATGAAATTAGTAGCATATATACTTCCTTGAGCATTTTCGGAAGAGTAAAAGGGCAAACGGGTATTACATCATTAATTTATGCCAGATGGAGTATTTTTGCCCAATGTGAAAAGATTAGGGGTGTTTTTTTGCATACTTTCTCAAATAAAGGGTAAAAATGCACGAATTAAACTTTAAGAGTATTTGCTGCACTTGTCCCTGCGTGGTTACCAAAGTAAAAGGTTTCATCAAAAATCAATTTTAATTTCATTGAAGATAATATCATGATGTATCTCATACCCTTTCAATTAAATTAATAAGATAATTAATTTAAAGCTTTGACAGCAAGACAGATTAATTACCTCATTTCTTTAATAAGATAATTAATTTAAAGATTTGGCAGCAAGACAGATTAATTAGCTGAGTTTGACTGAGACAAGCCGAGAAAAAAAGAGTCGAGGAAACCCATATAGTCCATGCGAAGTGGCGAATGGGAGCCCCCGATGGCCAATGAGCAACCCATTGGGGTGAACCGGTGGAGTGCAAAACCTATATGCACCACATGAGAGAGAGAGAGAGAGCTCTCACCATATACAAAAGTGGCTCCACGCTTCACCAAAGAGCCACTGTCTCCTTACCCCCTGGCCTTCTATTAGCTGTCCCAGTTGCGACTTCCCAACCTCTCCATTTTTTTACCCCCATCCATGAGAATATTTTCGGTGTGTCAAGTGCACCGTGAACTAGGTACATCAAAATCGTTCGTTCTCGTAATACGTATTGTGCGTGGAAGGTTTTGATGTACCCGATGCACGGTACACCGAGCACACCCTTCTCCATCCCCATGTCTCTCTCTCACACATATGCATCAATGTGTGTGTGTATATATATAATCTCATTCGTGGACGAACAGAAGCCGAAGATATTCAGCACCAAGAGATGCTTTCAATTGGGACCCTCGCTCGAAAGCATCGGATGTAAGTTTGGCCTTTCACTTTCGACCAGCGAATCATTTTTCATATTTGTTAGAGTTTTGTCAAAGATGAATAGCTTGCTAGGGCAACTTCAAAAGTTTTTTTTTCTTCTTATAACTAGACAACTTAATTTGGAACACTAGTTTGGTCCTCACATTGTGAACAATGACAATGTCATTGTCGGCAAGAAAATAACACTGAAGTACTAGAGATGATATTTCAGCACTTTTGTTTGGTGTTACACTTTTGTATTAGGTGTAAACCACTTACCAAAGCAACCCTCTATTTCTTTTGTGTGTCTGCGCTGTTTTGTAGCATCAAAGTGTTGGTCCTAATCATCCTACTTATGTAATTGACCAACTCTCTCACAGCACATGTGAAGATCTCATAGAAATTTATACATAGTTCTCTTCAATCACAACTTAACACGCAAGTAAATTTTTACATAGTTATGGTCAGTCATAACTCGATACATAAGCAATTTGTCGGAACCACATCATCTTGGACCATGTAATCATTTCTAGTCAAAAAAACTACTTTGCTTCTTCTAGGACCATGTAATCATTTCTAGTCAAAAAGTTACTTTGCTTCTTCTAGAGTTCTTGTGAGCTTGAGCACAACTTACAAAAATAAAAAGACAAGGAAAGAATCTAATCATATCTTGTTTTAGTTAGAAAAACTGAAAAGAACCAGACAAGTGTGATTAAGCATCTAAAAGAGGTAAACCCAAAATGCCCATATACCATTTTACATATATAAACACCATTTCCCTCTCTTTTGGTTAGGGTACATTGGTCATTTTATATTTATTTTGTTTTTCATCTTTTTTATTTTCAAATACATAAGGACACTTTAGTCTTTTAATTGCTCTACCCCTAGTTCGCGCAAAAAATAAAAAATAGGGACTCTTAAGAACCTATAGGAGATTTTATACCCTATTTGCATATTATAGGAGTGTTTATTGCTACCCATTAGAAATAACCCCATGTATTAAGCATGATTAGCCATCAATACCACTATTTATATGCATAAATGGAAGTGAAGTTGGCTCACAGGTGCAGCTACTTGGTTCTGTTTACCCTCTATCCAAAATCCACACACACCCATACACACACACAAACTGGCAGCAGCCTGTGTTGCTTTGGCAAAAAGAAAACCCCCAAGGATAGTGGCAATTGGTGTAGGGGAAACCTCTTGCAGTCACAATACAACTAGGTTACTAAATTCAAGCACAACCCCTCTTGAAATGACAGACCTGAACAAAAGTCGTGCACGCACCAGCTTGAGAGTCCCTACAAAATTGGTACTTATTGCTTCAAAGTCAACTTGCAACAGCTACAGAAGGAAATTGTTTTTCCAAATCTTATTCAATCTGTACATGAAACAACTAGGAGAATATTGACACAAAAATAGAAAAGAAAGCAAAGACAGGAGTTACAAGATAAATATGAAAAGGGGACACTTTCTATTTTTTGTTCAAATGACTACTGTGCGCATAATTAAATGAGAGAACAATCAACTAAATTAACTTGATTTCACAGAACTAAACATCTGCAATAGGGGGCAAGGCTTTGGATTTGCTTCATTGATGCTATTGTCGACCAGTTATTGATCCGGATGCTGCCACTTTCTCAACTTCAACTTCCCAATCAAATGACGAGAATGCTGCAGTATATCAGTAATGTGCCATGGGATGACAATAAGAACCGGATGCCAGACAACAAATTTGTAAAAGAGCTGAAGCCCATGTCTTCCCTGCTCCCTTCTTTTCTATAATTCTAGTAGAGTAAACTACCTGCCTCCACTAGCTGATTCGCGCCTCCGCCGCCTCCTCGACCTCCCAGACAACAATCTGTTGTGGTAGTGGGAAAGACTGGAGATATAATTATCAATACGTCCAGATGTGGTTAAAATACCAGGATGACGCATCCCAACATCTTCCTCATCCAATGATTGATAACCCCTCTCAAAAATCCTATGTGAGTTGACATGATCATTCCGGCCTCCACCAAATGGTTCCAACCTGAAAAGAGTATCGCCAAAATAGTCATTCAAATCGAAGGCTCCAGAAAACCCTCGAGAGTTCCCCTCTATTACATAATCCCCCCAAACAATCGCCCCAGGCACTGATGAGTTAATTGTGCTAATCACATCATTTCGTTCTCTCTCATGCTCAAGCCTTTTCCATTTCTCTGCAAGTGAAGGGTCCACTTCTCTGGGGCGTGCCCATGGGTGCTCTATCCTTACATGCTTCCTTAATTCTTTGTAAGTTCCAACAAATGAACAGTTATCTTGCATGCAGGTCCTCCTCTTGGTATCAAGATACTTGCGTGCCGGTTCCACCACTGTCCAACCTTTCACCTGTCCCCGGCAAAGTGGGCACAAAAGTTCTGATGCTTCCATCTTTTCAGTGGGGCAACCTAACCCCAAATTGAAACCCAAATCATTGTTTGACCCATGCCATGGTTCTCCACTCTGGGTTGAAGTAACTTTAGTGTAAGCGTTTTTGTACTGCTCAAGACAGTTGGAATAGCGATCGCTAGTGGCACACATATAAGGACGGCACCCCTTGTTGTAGGAGGAACAAAGGAGGAGAACGGCATTGTGAGGGTATTCCAAACAAACTGAGCAAGTGGCATCTACCCACTCTTTCTTCTCTGTTGCTTTTGCGCACCTTTTCTTTTGGTGGATATCTTCCAAAACCTTCAAGGGTTTGGATGGTAACAGATATGGGGTTACCCTACGAGACCAGTAATTGGACCAGTAATTGGACTTCCGCCGCACCTTGCTAACTTTTGCCATTTACAAGTAAACCTGGTACTCATCCCAAATCATAAAAAGAAAATAATATACAAAAAATAAAAAAATTAAATTAATACAAGATTAGATCTTAAGAAATTCATAACCATGAGTTATTCATGAAAATGTAAATGGGCTTTGAATGTCCAAAAGAAATTGAATAAGTAAATTGGCTTATTATGTAGGACTCAAAGTCACTCAAGTTTTCATTCTATTTAGTAATGTCAATTTGTATTGTATTCCCTAACAAATGATTTTACCCCCAACAAAAAACATTTTAAATCATCTCAATATAATTATTTTAGCCAAATATGGTAGGGAACCGTGATACACTACAGTCCCAAGTACTATGAGGCAAAAGCTGCATGTTAGTGTACCGGAAGCAAAAGCCCATAACCCATCTGATCAGTAAGACAATACACACAATAGTTCATAAAGAAAATGTAAGGGAACGCCCAAAAATACTCTTTTTGCTAGTTCCGCCACTTATTTTTCACATTCCTAAAACATATTCAAATTTAATTTTTTTTTAATGATGAAAGGTGGATTTTTATGTATCATAATAATCATGTGACACAAGAAACTCAATTTAAAAAGAAAGAAAGAGAGAAAGAAAAAGAAAAGAGTAAATTACAAGGTGAGAAAATTGTATAACTTTTTCAATTTCAATGCCCGCTAAATTAAACTGTCATATCAAGTTTAACTTTTTCTATTTTTTAAACTTTAAGCTGCTAGTCAATTTTATTAATGATTTACATATTTTGAATGTCAAAATTCAAAATTTCAGTTTTTCTGCACGAGTGGAGGCCCATGGGTCGTTTTTGGGGCCAAATTATGTTGGTTTGTCTTCATGTATGATATTTCATCGGTGTTGGAGAGTTTCATAGAGGAAGTCTTTAAGAGCTTCTGATTTGGAGTCATAGTCCTACACCCCTAGTAGAAGATGAAAAATCAATACATATATTTATGAATATTTTAATTTAAAACATTTCTTTTGAGAGAAATTCTTGAGAGAAATTCGAAAAGCTTCTATATCCCAATAGGTTGTTCACTGCAACCCTAATCCCGGGCAAAATGCCTAAAAAAATTCTAAGGATGATTCCTAGCATCTTCGCCTACTTCTTTTCTTGAAGTTTTTTTCTATTTTTTAAACTTTAAGCTGCTAGTCAATTTTATTAATGATTTACATATTTTGAATGTCAAAATTCAAAATTTCAGTTTTTCTGCACGAGTGGAGGCCCATGGGTCATTTTTGGGGCCAAATTATGTTGGTTTGTCTTCATGTATGACATTTCATCAGTGTTCGAGAGTTTCACAGAGGAAGTCTTTAAGAGCTTCTGATTTGGAGTCATAGTCCTACACCCCTAGTAGAGGATGAACAATCAATACATATATTTATGAATATTTTAATTTAAAACATTTCTTTTGAGAGAAATTCGAAAAGCTTCTATATCCCAATAGGTTGTTCACTGCAACCCTAACCCTGGGCAAAATGCCTAAAAAAAATTCTAAGGATGATTCCTAGCATCTTCACCTACTTCTTTTCTTCAACTTTCTACACTTTATAAGAATTAAAGCCCACAACCAAATCAACTTAAGAGGGCGGGCCTTGGGGCAATGGTAAGTTTGCTCCATTGTGACCTGGAGATCGCGGGTTCAAATCAAGAAACAACTTCTCCACATACGGAGGGAAGGTTGTGTACACCTAACCCTCCCCAGACACCGCAATGGCGGGAGCCTCAGCTAGCCCCTTTTTTATAAACCAAATCATCTTAACATCTTTTATTGCCGTTGTATTCTTATTGATGGTGAGGATGAAGACAAAGACTATGGTGTTCTTTGATAACTTAATTCCCTTCTTTTTCTGTAAATCAACATATTCTGAGATGCAGCAGCTCAAAATTTACAGAAGAAGCATGAAAAGGCCACAGGACAGGAATGAGAAACTTTGAAAGGTCAGCAATATTTAACAGTAAAAGCACTTCCCAATAAAAGAGAAACTCTTAGTTCAATGTTGGGTATATTGAAAGTGCAAGTGAGGGACAAGTAACTGGGTTTGCCATCTGTGATAGGAAGGTCGAAGAAGGTTTTTGAATATTTGGAGTCAAAAGTTGCAGCAAGACATTTTTATCTCTTGCTAGAAAGGGGGTGTTGATAAAACCCATCTTGATATTCATCCCCACATATACAATGGCTTGTTTTAAACTTCCTTATAAGATATACAATATTTTGAGAGAGAAAATGAGGGGATTTTGTTAGTTATTATTTTTTAAATAACTCAATTAAATGCTGTCCAATTACTTGAAAATATAAAAAAATGCAACATTAGGAAAAATAATTACTAAAGAAAGTTATAAAGGCAGTGCAAAACAATCTGTAATATACCTTTACACAAGTACAATATTTCATTGATATAGGAGAGGAGGGGGTTGGGGGTACATTAATGCTATGTTTGGTTGCATCCAATGGGTACCTTGGAATTGGAATTTGTGAAAAGTTAGTTCAAACTTTAAACTATTTTTTTTCTCCAATTCCAAGTCATAACCGAACATAGCCTAAGTGATTATCCAATTAATGACATAATTTGAATCACTTAAAGTCCATTAAAATAGAGTACATTTTTAAAGTGAAATAGACCTATCAGTTATCACTATAAACAAGGAACAGTTAAATTAAAATAATTATGTAGGAAATTCTTCATTTACAATTAATTTATGTAGGAACTACAGTGCTAAATATTTGGAAAACAAGAAGCATACTTCACTCCTTACTAGTATAAACTGATTACTAGCAGTCACAAAAGTAAAAGGATTGAAAACATAGCACAATTTGCCAAACATTGGTTTATTGTGAGAATAAACCAGCTTATTCAATAGGTCAAATCAAATGTGGAGTTCACACTCCTCTTAAGTGGCTGAAGTTGCTATTCAAGCCACATTCTCAACTATACGAGGCAGCATGGATCAGTAACATTTCTGTTATACCATGGTCATTATGGTAAATCTACAATACGCATCTTACTTGGCCTTCCTTGGTTTTATGACCTAGATGTATTTAATACGGTGTAAAGACTAACACACATTATCATGTTCAATAATGAGAAAATTGTCTTTGAGCGACAAAGACAAAGAATGTTGATTGAAATAAAAATGGTACAAAATAGAATATACAACTGAAGGTCGGTCATCAAATCCTGTTGTACGTGATGAGCTATCAGATTATCGAGCATGCATCAAAGCTAGTTGATGAGAAAAACACCTCCACTTCCCTTATTCTATAAAAGAGGCTACAATTAAATATGAGAAGAGACCGGTGTACTACAATGAGAGTAAGATCAAGGAAGCATAGGGCCTAGTTGGTTCAGATATCTTAAAACAGTTCTGAAGAACTTTGAAATTAATATAAAAGATTGTTTTTCCAAAAAAAAAAAAAAAAAACTTTCTTTAACTCAATTTTCATAACATTTTTCATAAAATTTGAGGGCGGGGCTTGGCATAATGATAAGGTTGCTCCATTTGTGACCTAGATGTCACATTTTCTTTTTAAGGTTGCTTCTATTGAAGGCATCGAGTAAAAAGAAAGAATGAAAACGACATTTCTATCAACATTAACACACATGGGAAGAACAGTTTCTTTATCAAAGTAGCTTATATTAAATCGAAGTATCAGCTTTAGAAGTTGGGAATGAAAACATAGGATTCATGTAACCGACCCCAGGTAGTTGGGAAAAAATGCTTCTTTGTCATTGTATCAGCTTTACAAGTTCATTCTCAAACTGACTACCTAAACAAGGCAAGACAAATAGAGTTATGTGAATGTCCTGGTTCATTGGTGCAAGAACTATTAAAGATTAAAAAGACAAAAGAACAAAATATTTTAAAAAAAATTAACCAGATTACTATTGCTTCGATGCAATCCAACTCGAAGAAACCAATTCCAAAAAAAAAAAAAAACACACACACAATCATCAGTGTTCACACAAACACCCACTATTGCTCCTAAGCACTTGAATCATCAACCTTCCACTTAGGAGGAGGAGGAAATACCACTCAACCAAACGTTCTGTAGCACAGTAATACTAGTTTCATCAAAAGATGACATACTTATTCTTTAATGGAGTTGAAATGTAGGGTACATATTAGTCTAATTACTCCTTAATTTTGACATATGTGTATAAATAAGCCAGCTTTTTTTTTTTTTTTTTTCCTGACAGATGAATGAGCAAAGTTTGCATTTTTTTTTTCTTTCTCAAAAAGGTCATATTTCAACTTGTTTATAATTCCAATATAAGTCTCCAATTCTACTTCAATTGGTGATTATGAATATGGGTCACCAACAAATACTGACCCAATTTAGCACGACCAACTTCACATCGAAGAGTAAGTTCAAAAACAGAAATACATACAAATCAAAACAGAAAATGTGTGTATTTCTACTTCAATGCACATATAGTATATATAATAACCAATACGAAAATGAAGACCACATGAACATAGTGAGAAACCAATTAATTGCAGATACAGAAATGAAATTCGAGATCGGAATCGAATATACCTGGAAGTGCCGGGAGGGCGAGAGTAGCAGCGTCGATTGATGAGAGAGAGGGAGAGAAAGAACGAAGAAAAATGAGGGATATAAGTTTAGATGGTAGAGGGAGAAAGAGAGAAGCAACAAGCGATGTTTGCTCTCCCGCTCACGTTGGCGGAGGTTACGTTGCGTCGTGGGCTAGAGAGAGAGAGATGACGATACTGCGGAATGGGGATTTTGGGTTCTCTTTCTCTCAGGTTCCGTAAATGTTCGTCGTCGCGCGTGCCACTTTTATCGGGTACTCGGATTTTGGTCAGGCCATGTGTCATCATAATGGGGTCATTTGCTATCACCAAAGATGCGCATAGTTACAAGCATATACGCATATATATATATATATATATATATATATATATATATATTATTCCACGGTTTATATATATATTATTCCACACTTTCTATATAAACCGTTAGATTAAATCTAACAGTCATTTTTTAAATCCACCTATGGCCTTTTCTTTTAAACACAAAATCACCCTCACCAAATTTTTATTTAATTTTATCATTGCCACTTACGTAACAATAAAAGGTAATTATCAACTCTCTCTCCATTTCCCTGTGCGTTGAATTTCACAAAATGTCCAACTTTAAATTGAAATAGAAAGAATTTTTGTTCAAACTTTAAATGAAATTTTCTTCAATTTCAATTCTAATTAATCAATTCGATATTCCAAAATGCAATATTACAGTATATTTATTGGTAAATTTATTTATACTAGAGAAGTATATTAATTTACTTATACTGAGAACAATAAAATATTTCATAGGAAAAGACTATAATATCATACTATTGTTGCAAATTTGAAAGATACGGGTATTGTTTTTCTTTCAAAGAAACATCTAAATAAAAACATTTTTTTAGTAAAATATACCGTTTCTATTTTTATTTTGATAATTACCTTCTACTATTATAATAGGTGGTAATGATAAAATTAAATATAGAAACTAAAAATAAGGTGTGAGTGGTTTTGTGTTAGACAGAAAGATCATATGTGGATTTGATCTAACGGTCTATATAAAAAGTGTGGATTAATTTTCTTGTTCTATGGAGAGCAAGAGATCAGGACTCTCTCTCTCTCTCTATATATATATTGCAAATATACGCACATATATATTGGTAAATTGAAATAAATAAATAAATAATAATAATACTAATAAAATAATCATGTCATATAAAAAAATGGCAGCAAACACCCCCGCTTTTAAAAAGCATATATAAATCACAAGAAACACCTTCATTTTTAAAAAAGCATATATAAATCTATGTATTTTAAAAATTTGTAACAAATTGTCCATGATCAATAATTTTGACCAATTTTTTTTTTTTTTTAATTTCAAAATACCCTTAAAGAAATTTTAGGTATTTCTTCAATAAGTAAAAAGTTAAAATAAAATAAAAATAAAACAAAAAATAGATAAATAAAAAACAATTTGTTTGGGGTTTTTATAAATTTTTAAAAAATGCCCTTATTTATTTATTTTTTGTTTTTGTTTTTGTTTTTTATTATTTATTTTGTCTTAAAAGGAATTTTAGTCTTCAAATTGAAGAATTATCTTTATTTGCTCAATTTAAAATATGTTAAGAGTTTTTTGAACAATAAGAGCATGCACATTCCGTATATAATTAAAAATATATATATACATATACATGATTAACAAACCCATATTGTGCACTGTTTATACTCTACTATTAGGGATGACAAAATATCTTACTCCTCGGTGTCCATCTCGTCCCACCCCTTTTAAAAGAGTAAGTGGTTAAATGGTTTTAGGGTCTGGATAGAGATTATGACTAAAAATCCGCGCTCTTGTAGAGGGGAGACTGAGAAATGTCAAATAAAATTCAATTTTGCCCTTGTAATTTATTTTATATTAAAAATATTAAGTATACAAACAACACTGGAAAACTACATATAAATTGGGTTAGGATCTCTAAATAATAAATTGGTCAATTTTAAAAGTTAATTTTTCACATTGATTGAATTAAATAAAATAATTACAAATGCATCAAAAATTATTGCTACAGTCCAAAATGTCCTCACACTCTTATTACAAAATACAAAAATATCCTTCTTAAAATTATCAAATTTCAAATATTAAAATAAATAATTAAGAATTAATTTAATTAGGAAATAAAATTCTCCAATATCTCTTGTCCATGGCATTGGATTGCCCTTTGGGATTGATGTCATCTGATACATATATCTGTTGGACGGTAGGGTAATTAAATAAAATTTTTTTTTTTTCATGGTAGGGTAATATGAAGTATTGGAATATCTATCTGCCTTTCTTTTTTGTTGTTTCTTCAATTAATTATAAAAAATCACAACAAATTTTGAGATGCCAAATTGATAACCCTATGCAAGAACCTTAATTTCATACAGTATAACATACTTCTGAAGCCTACAGAGTAATAGATCTAAAACTTGTGAACAAAACTGATTACATATTACATATTTATATTTATATAATTGACTACGAATATAACTAATAGAGAATTATTATTCGCTAATTAAACTAATTTTTAATTATCTATTTTATTATATTAAAATTATATAATTTTAAGAAGCATATTTTGGTATTTTGAAATAAGAGTGAGGATATTTTGGACTGAGCAATAAATATTGATGTATTTATAATTATTTTGCTTAATCCAATCAAAATAGAAAATTAACTTTAAAAAGTGACCGATTTGTTATTTAGGACTCTTAACTTTACTTATGTATATTTTTCCCAACAAACTTTAGATTATTGTATTCCAATCATTAGATATCCTTCTAAATATATATATATATATATATATATATATTCCTAAATGAAAGGAGTATATTAAACATGAACAAAATGGTACATAGAAACATATGAGGGCATACCCTCATCTAAACAACCAAAGTCCTAAAGGACACTCATAAATCTAAACTAGCAAGCAATATAAGATTACAAAATGTCTTGGAGATTAACTCCTAACACATCTAAAACCTTTCAAAGAATACATTTAGCTAGATTCTTAACCTTTCTTGCATTTTTATCATGCAATCGGTTATTCCTCTCCCACCATAATAAATACTGTACAGTGTAGCAGTGAAAAGTATTCTGGCCATCTTCTTGATATTTCTCCTTTGATAATTCTGAATAGACTGTTCTGCCACTTCTTGAACTCCTAGGCACCTCTGCAAATTCCAACCACAGGTTTTGTATTATTTTTATTTAAGAACCGCTATATATTATTTTGATATTTTCACAATACTATTAAATCTCAAGTTCTAATTGAGAATTTGAATATTATACTTATATGTATAAGAGAAAAATAATTATTATTATAATTAAAATTTTATTTTATTATTTAACTATATTAGATTCGTAATACAATTACAAGTATTTTCCAATCCCGCCCCCAGCCACCCGCTATGTTTAATATTTGGACAGAGATGGAGGGCACTCCAGTTTCCATCTTACCTACTAAATATTTTTCTTGGTTTGTAAGATGGTGTGGATTTCACACAAGAGTCCACAAGGTTGACAAAACACTTCTATGAATACCACTTTTACTAATTTTACTATATTACTCATACATTAATAGTCTAATAAACATATTACACAAATACTAATTATTGTGAAATTTCATTGATTACAATAATTACAAGAAGATCAAGTTATTCTATATTTCTTCTTTAATATCACTTTTTTTGTTTATTACTATATAATATTTTCATTTACCACTAAAAAAAAGTTAATTACCTAAAATACTCTTACCACCATCCATAACGCAATTTGAGAAGTTCCAATTTCTAGTTTCATATATATATATATATATATATATATAAATTATTATTATTAAATCACTGCTCCCTAAAAGAGGTTTTATTTATTTATTTATTTATTATATTTTAAACAAGAAACTTACAAATCCACGTGTTCTATGAGGATTTGAACCCTTCAATCCTCAACCTTTCCTTTGAAAAGTGATGAAGTATCATTGGACTACCCACCCTTCAGTGTTAAAGCCTTTTTTTTTTTTTTTTTTTCAATCTATCTCCAACTACAATTAAACACGGTTTTTTTAGATGGTCAAAAAGTAGTCCCAAACGAGTTCTAACGGTACCTACATTTCATAATTTTACTTCAAAAATAAATTGACATAATTATTTTTTCCTAATAAGCTCGTGTAATTATTTCAAATGACACTTATGTAGTGTTGGATGACTTACTCTGTTTGCAAATAACCCTTTCTTATTGAATTACACTTGATATATTTTTCTTGTTGAAATGAATTATGAAAAAAATTCATACTAATTTGATGAAATAATCTTCATTAAATTTGCATAAGTTTGCCTTTAATTTTTTAAATTAATTATTTAAATAAAAATCTTAAATGGAAAATTTTGAAATAGTTTAAGTAATTTCTTAATTTTCATGAATATATTGCATTAAAAAGAAGATATTTTTTATTTACGTAATTTATTAATTTTTCATGAATATTGTTTGAAAAAGAAGATATTTTTTTATACTAATTTTTTTTTTTTTAAAAGTGAGTACAATAAGTTTTATTTAATAAGTTAATTATTATAGAAAATGATATTTAGAAATCTATTTATTTTTTTCCATTTTTATAATCAGTTGATACTGATTATAAAATTAAGAAAAATGGTATAATTAATATTTAAATAAAAAAATTTAATAAAAAAAAATTTAATAAGAAATGAAATTTTAAAAAGAAAGGGTAAAATAGTCTTTTGTGATGGAATTGTCCAAGAAAAAATAGTTACCTAAAATATGGAATGCAATTTTAAAAGCTTCAAATTCTAGTTTTATTCAAAAGCTCTTGATTTAATATTCGTAACCATTAAAAATGTTGTTAAACAAGTGAAAAGTAATCCCAAAAGGACTTTTAGGGCTTATCGCTTTTAGTAATTACCAAACATTGTCCACATGTTATTTTTTTAAAATAAAAACGCTTTTAAAAGGTGAAAAGCCTACACAAAATTTAAATAGGCAAAAGCAAATGGAAAGTGTGAAAATGCACACACCGCTGCACAAAAAGCAAAAACAAATAGGAATGGAAAGGTTCCAGTCGCAGACTCTCCATTTATCAGAGTGGGTTTTCATGGAAATCCAAAGTCCTTCGTTTTTGTGAGTGGTTCGCTTGGAGGGCTTGCTTTTTCCGGCAGTTTCCTGCCTTGCGTGTTTTGGCCGGTGGCCACACGCTTGGCTCTTCTGAGTTAGGGTTCCCCTTTGACCCGGGTATTAT